CCTTCCTCAAAAGTCTGCCCCTACGCATATGCCGACCCTGAAGTAACAGACATACCTCGATAGGGTTCGCAGCATAGCTGGGAACATTTTTACACCCAACAGAGTAAGGTGGGCTATTTCTAATTTCAAGCCTCTAAAATTGCCTGGAGGAGATGGAATTTTGCCTATTTTTTGCAAAAAGGCTTAGAAGACCTGCTCCCAGTAATAATATCTCTATATATAGCTAGCTACAGCTTTAGCTATATACCCACACTATGGAGGAAAGTAAAGGTGGTGTTCATACCAAGGCATACAGACCAATTAGCCTAACTTCATTTCTCCTCAAAGAGATGGAAAAGGTAATTGATCAATACCTTAGGAATGGAGTGCTTGTCACCATGCTTACCAGAAAGCAAAATCATGTGCTTTCATAGACATAGAGGGTGCGTTTGATAACACCTCCTATGAATCCATAGAGAATGCTCTAAACGTAAAAGATATACATCTATATCTATGCTGATGACCTGATAATTACAATCCGAGGTAAATATGATACAATCATAATTCAACTAATGCAGAAAGCCCTACTACTCACCAGTGCTTGGTGTAGAAGCAATGGGCTCAGCATCAATCCAAATAAAATAAAAATAGTACCTTTCACTCGGAAAAGGAAGCTACAAATAAAAGCACCCTCCATTGAAAGCAGAACTATTAACTTCAAAACAGAAGTTAAATACTTAGGGGTAATACTAGACAGTAAACTAAACTGGAACTCACACTTAGACAACAGGCTCCTAGGAAGGAACTGGGGTCTCAAACCACGAATGGCTCATTGAGCCTACGTAGCAATAATCAGATCCATGGTCGCCTACGCCTCACTGGTTTGGTGGCCAAAAACAAAACATAAGAGCACAATAACAGCTGCCACAAATTCAGCGATTAGCATGTCTTAATATAACGGGTGCAATGAGATCTTGTCTGACGTTTGCTTTGGAAGCCCTACTCAGTCTCACACCACTCCATTTATATATACAAAAAGAGGCAGTTTCAAGTGCCTTATCACTAAAAACAGTTTCTTCACTCAAGTTGATGCAGGGTAATCTCAGAGGACACCTCGAAATCCTCAAGAACCCATGTCTAAATCACCTGATTGAAATTGAAACGGACCTTATACCGACAGAATACAATTTCAATCAGCCGTATAAGATCATATTTAGAAGCAGGAATGATTGGACGAAGGGTGGGCCTCAACTAAAAAGAGGAGCCCTTGGTACACCGATGCTTCAAAGACAGTTAGATCCGGAGTAGGCATGGGCATCAGTGGACTAAATAGCCACATTAAACTGCCCCTCAGCTCGGACATAACCACTTTTCAAGCAGAAGTTCTTGCTATAAACTTCTGCACCGCTTTGAACCTACAGAAGGGACAGAAAGGTGCATCCATAAACATTGTCACAGACAGTCGGACCGCCTTATGGAGGCCATACACCATAGGGTTTGCATGATGGTTTTAGCCTTATATGCATAACCGACAGGCAAACCCTAGTGTGTATGTGATAAAACTGTACAGTTATCGGCGCACGTACATGTAACCAAGCAAATATCAAAATTGATATTTTCTGCCGCTCGGTTACGTTTGCGTGCATGCATAACCAGGCGTGTGTGGCGTCCGGCGAGCTTGCGTGCAAAGTTCTCAGATTTCTCAGATTGTTCTCAGTTTTCAGTGGTTCTCAGTTTATTGTCTGCGACGGTGGAAGGTCGTGCGCGTGTACCATCGCACTCGTATGACACTTTAAGATACTCATATGTTCTTCCTGTAGCAAGAAATCTTAATGTTGCTGCTAGTTTCTCATGTGCTGATATTGCATATCTCATAACAGTATCTTGTCTTTGTATTAACGGAGTGATCAATGATAACAGTTTCAAATAAAGATTTTTATCATTTCATAAATAATTTTTGTAATCTGTTGGTGTAAATCTCAATTCATTTAACAAATTTACGTGAGAGAACTGCTTTCTTTTCAATAACCAGCGTTTACACCATTCCGAGCGAGCTCTTTTTCTTTTTCTATTCTGTAGAACAAGTGTTAAGCCAAGTACAGCTATCAGATCGTCGTCGTCCATTGTTAGTTTGGTATACCGTGCATAGTAGTATAGATAACTGCCCTACACATACCGTCACGTAGCTCCAACTGTCTTTAATTGAGAGTTTATGGCAAAACTGTGTATGCAAACCCTAACTTGTATGTGTATAACGTGTACAATATGAAACTGGGTTTTATCTGTCAGTGAAAACGCCCTTCATTGGACCTCCAACAAGGTTGTGGACAACAAAAAAGCCACCTAAAACAAATAATCAACAGTAGGGAGGCCTCAAAGGTAGGCTTATGCTGGAAAGATCTTTCAGGTCACAGGCAAGCGAAGAGTATGATAACTCCATCGCAAAACAAAACCAAAGAGGTTTTATGCCTCAGCAAAAGGGATCTAAGGACGCTCTCAGGTTTGCTGACCGGTCATGCGCCCCTAAATACCACCTCTTCCACATTCGACAAGCTGAGGATCAAACTTGTCGACTTTGCAATGACGAGGCCGCCTAAGACACAACATTTTCGATAAAGCACTTTTGACACCTACTGACATAAAGGAACAAGACCTTGGAGCAATACTTTATTATTACCAGTGTAGTGCACCTTCTATCGCGCTCCGTTTTAAGGTGTTTTTCTTGGTAAATACGCGCTTCTGTTACTTTTTTCTTCTTATCTGGGGACCTAGTATACCTTTATAGTATTAGTGCTGTTTGTTTTGAGCCTATAAATTAATAAATAAGCAGTAACAACTTCATATACACTGTTGGACATAATTCACGAGCACACCCTATATAATCTGAACGAGTGAAGATAAATCCATGATATTTGCGGAGCACAAAGGTCTACTGTAGACGAGTTTATTCATCGAGTTTCGAGTTGTTCCATCGCGGCATTGTTGACTGAGCCGCTCTTCCAAGTGGAACATTCCGTCGCTATGGAGACCGAAGTGGATGGAAAATACCGGTCGTTTTTAGTGTGGTGTGAGGAACCACATTGTTATCGTACTCTGTGCGCAATGGATGGGCGATCGCGTTACTTAAGCGAGTTTGAGCGAGGAATGTTTGTGGGTATGCACATTGAGGGTGTATCGTTCTGTGAAATTGCGCGTCGTCTCGAGCGGTCGTTATCGGCAGTGCAACGGGCATGGCGAGAATGGTCTGAGGTAGGACATAGGTACCTTCAGCCGCGGCCGGGACGGCCCTGCGCGTCCCCAGCACACGAGGATCGCGCTCTTGTGCTCAGCGCTTTAGCGTCGTGTGTGTCCTCCTCAAGGCAACTTGGAGCTGTTTGGCCACCGGCAGGGGAAGGCGCACTCACTACGCGAACTGTACGGCGGCGTTTGGTAGATAGTGGACTGCGCGTGCGTCGTGCGAAACAGCGGATTCCAGTAACATCCGAGCACCGCAGCATACGTCACGAGTGGGTCAACGCTAGGCATTAGTGGGTTGCCGAGTAGAGGGACATTTTGTTTTCCGACGAATCAAGATTCGAATTGAGCACCGGTGATGCGCGAATTTTAGTTCGTCGGAGACGTGGTGATCGTCTACTCGAGCAGTGCGTGCAAGAATGCCCTATCCACCGACAACCGAGCATTATGGTATGGGGTGCTATTACACATGGTGGACGTACACGTCTGCTGCGTGTATAGCAGACCATGACGGGTCAACGATACGTAGATGAGGTGCTACGGTCCGTTGTGCTTCCCTACGTTCGGCGGCTCCCAGGTCTGCTATACATGCACGACAACGTACGACAGCACATCGGGCGTGTTGTACAGACCTTTGTGGAAGAGCACCGTATACGAATGCTTCCATGGCTAGCTCGGTTTCCGCATCTGAATCCGATCGAACATGTTTGGGACATGACTGGTCGGAGACTTCTACGTTATCCGGCTTCCTCGGCTAACGTTGAGGAGCTATGGAGGCGAGTTGAGGTGGCATGGTTGGCCATCCCTCTCGCTACAATACAGCGACTTATAGACTCCATGCCACGTCGTGTAGCGATGGTACGCGAAGCTCACGGGGGATACTCTCGCTATTGATGTTTCTCCTCCCAGCAGAGTTGTGCCGCTCTCCATGTAAGAGTAAGTTACACTACTTTAGTACTACTTCCATACCAAATTTTATTGCGCTAGACACACGCGTTCAGATTATACAGGGTGTGCTCGTGAATTATTTCCAACAGTGTATGTTGTAACGTGTTTCATCTCGGCCACTTTTTGCTTGACCATGAGTTCTCTCTTTCTATCGTCTTATGTACAGGGCAAATCGAAATCCTCGCGAAAGCATAGTTCAAGAGATTTCGGATACTTTAATTAATAATTGGGGATATTTCCACAAGGATCCTTCAAGAAATTAATTTTATAGCGAATTTTGAAAGTTATCGATAAAAATTGCAATATCGAAAATTTTATCAAAACTTCAAATATTATTTTTTCAAAAACTAAATGCTATTTTTCAAAACGGGTTAGTTCATTGGAAAGAGGACACTCTTATTAACACTTTGGGAAATTTTTGTACTCATATTCCAAATGGATTTTATACGAATTTTTAAAGTTTAATCGGCGAAAATTGCAAAATTGTCGATTATTTCAAAAACTTATTTCTTATAAACTGAAAGTGATTTTTCAAAACGGCTTGTTGCATTAAAAAGAGGATACTTTAATTAATAATTGGTGGTATTTCCACAAGGATCCTTCAAGAAATTAATTTTATAGCGAATTTTGAAAGTTATCGATAAAAATTGCAACATCGAAAATTTTAACAAAACTTCAAATATATATAAACGGGTTGGTTCATTGGAACAGACACTTTTATTAACACTTTGGGAAATTATCATACTCATCGGACCATCCTGTATATCGATATCAATCAGCACTTAATTAAAATTAAAAATGGATTTATATCTATAAAACTTAAGAATAAAAAAACAATAAATTGATTAAATTTTTATTGCAATAGAAATCTTTTTAGTTTAAATTAAACGTTTTATTTATTTCGGCCACAAAGTTTTGGTGGACCTAAAAAAGAAATCAACTCAATTAATTTATCAATTAAAAATTAACTTTACTAACCAAAAACTATATTTTCCGAAATTGACCCTCCAGGCCCCACTCTATAATAAGCCAAAATATTAACGACCACATCTTGGCAGAAACTTGGAAGATACTCCGGATAAGGAAACGTAAAAGAATAAGCCCCCATATTCCAAGCAAAAATATATTCTCCAGTTTCCTTCGAAGCGATACTAACTGAATACATAAAATAATAATAACACTTTTCGTAACCAATCGGTGGGGTCCAAGTTAATATCAAAGCTTCATCGGTATTATTAACAATAAAAGAAGCAGGAGCTCCCAATTCAGCCACAGGATCTAAACAAAAAATTATATTAATTAATTTAATGTGATGTAATTGTTATTACCCAAAAAATTATACGAATAAGTAACAGATGTTTCACTATCGTGATTAGCATATAAAGTGGATTTGACGTGGATACAAATTTGATCGTTCTTATCATAATCAAAAACGAAATTTAGGTTCGTCAAGTTTTGAACGGGCGCTAAATACTGCGACGTGTTCATATTTTGGATATGAAGGTTATAATCAACAGCGCAATTTTCAAATCCAAGTGGAGGCATCCAAGAAAGATATAAATTATTGTCAACGGAGGAAACAAAATCTTGAGCCGGCCCTAATTCGGCTAAAAATTTTTTTTAGATTTAATTTGATTTATTTAAAATTAATTTAATCAAATTACCTGCACATGATTCTTCAGCGCTAATTTTGTTACAAAATGTAACGCTTAAAAGAAAAATTAAAAGTGATTTAAAAAACATTTTGATACTAATTAATGATTTTGTGATGTACTTTATTATATAAAGCGAAAAATAAGATAATTTGCGGAAGAAAGATCTTGACTTTTTGATTAGATAAATAAAGATGTAGAAATAGAGATATAGATCAAATCTCAACGAGTTTTTTAAGTTGTTATTTATAACTAATTAAGGATCTATCAAGTTTCCATTTAAAGATAAATAATAAAAAAAATAAACAATGAGTTGAATAAAGACAAGAAAATGTGAGTAGACTACTTGCAGAAGTCTGCCTGCTGTTTGCCGAAGACTACAACTGCGTATAAAAGACTGGTTACATTAACACTAAATATTGTTAATGGAAGATTAGGAACTAAAATTACTGCTCGTAGATGGAAATGGAAGTCTAGACATTGCAAATAAGACTAGAAACTGTTTGCTGGAGACTGCCTAAAGCTTGCAGTAAGCAGCCTACTACTTGCTGAAGACTCCAACTACGTACAGAAGTCTAGATACTATTGATAGCAAATTGGAACTGTTGGCAGCACACTAAATGTTATTAATGGAAGATTAGGAGGAACTGAAATTGCTGCTGGCAGAAGACAAGATAGTGATAATGGACGTCTAAACATTGTAAAGTAAATTTATTCATTCAAAGAAATCATCTACAGAATTAAGTAATTTCTTAAATACATACGTCAAAGTAGTAACATAGTATTAATAAGTGAATACATTTAAATTTTTTATTCATCCATAATTGACGACTCCAAATATTCTGGGATACTGTAGGTGTACTTCTTAAGAAGACTTTCTTTACGCCCTTTTTAAAATTTTTCTAATTTAAAATTTCCCGCGCTGTATAATCACCGGGTAGTTAGTTACTTTTGCTACCAACCAAATTTTTTTCCCCTAAACTTTGGTTGGAACCGCTCCCTATACTTATGCCATTGGCGCGTGACCTAGGTGGCGCTACCGTCGCCGATNGAAAATTTTATCAAAACTTTAAATATTGTTTTCTCAAAAACTAAAAGTTATTTTTTAAAACGTGTTGGTTCATTGGAAAGAGGACACTCTTATTAACACTTTGGGAAATTTTTTTACTCATATTCCAAGAAATGGATTTTATACGAATTTTTAAAACTTAATCGGCGAAAATTGCAAAATTGTCGATCATTTCAAAAACTTATTTCTCATGAATTGAAAGTGATTTTTCAAAACGGCGTTTTGCATTAAAAAGAGGATATTTTAATTAATAATTGGTGATATTTCCACAAGGATCCTTCAAGAAATGAATTTTATCGCGAATTTTGAAAGTTATCGATGAAAATTGCAACATCGAAAATTTTCTCAAAACTTCAAATATTATTTTCTCAAAAACTAAAAGCTATTTTTCAAAACAGGTTGGTTCATTGGAAAGAGGACACTTTTATTAACACTTTGGGAAATTTTTATACTTATATTCCAAGAAATCGATTTTATACGAATTATTAAAATTTATTCTGTGGAAATTGCAAAATTCGTAAAAATTGTCAATTATTTCAAAAATTTATTTCTCAAGAACTAAAAGTGATTTTTCAAAACGGCTTCTTGCATTAAAAAGACGATATTTTAATTAATAATTGGTGATATTTCCACAAGGATCCTTCAAGAAATTAATTTTATAGCGAATTTTGAAAGTTATCGATAAAAATTGCAACATCGAAAATTTTATCAAAACTTCAAATATTGTTTTCTCAAAAACTAAAAGTTATTTTTCAAAACG